TGCTGACAACTATGTCTGACAGACGCAAAACATTAATGTTCACAAAGTTGCTGATAGTTTCGTCAACCACCACAGCAAACCCATACTGGTCTGCCAAAGCGCGAATCCGTTTGAGGTCCGGTGTTTTGAGAAGAGGGTTACCTGGTGCCTCAGTGAAAAGTCCAAGGAAACGCTCGCCAGCCTTCAGTCGAGATTCCAGATCATCCAGATCTTCCGAGGAGCCGTGGCCATAGAATACGCAGCCTGGCCCCCACTTTTGGAGAATCTTCAATGTATCCGTGTAAGGGAAGCCGAAACAAATTGACGGCAAATCGCCTCTAGTAGCTAACAAGGTCTGATGAGCGTTAAAGATGGCGTTCATTCCTGAAGGGTAAAGAAGGACATCCTCCTCAGAAATGCCGGTGACTCGACCTTCCGATGAAGCTGTCTCCAGGGCTTCTGGCAGTTCAACATCGGCTGTCAAGACACCCGCAATACGTTTGCGAACAGCCAGCTTGGCCTGATTGGCGAGAGAAGTGCTGAGGTTTCGACCAAACCGCTCCTCAATAAATTGAGCATAGTCTCGGCCGTCTTCGTTGTTTGACTTGGGAGGAGATTCCCCAACAGAGCCCTTTCTAGCTCCACCGACGGTTTGGTATCTGCGGGGTCCCTTGCAAGGACGCTGGGAGATTGACTCCGCAGTCGCCAGGCCCTTGTCTTCCACCAAAAACCCGTCCTCCAATGCACCTAGGCAGAACTCACCTCGTCGACTGGAGATGCCATTGCCCGAGTGTTGCCAGACCTGCTTGGTAATGGGGGCGTATTCTTTTGGGTAAATGACACACGACAAGGAAGACGTCACCGTTAATCCGGCTTCGGTATGTGGGGATGGGATGAAGTTGACGATCCGTGTTTTGTATGCCTGCTCTGCGGGGATTTTGCTAAGAAGGAAGGAGTGACAGATGTGCGCTGCCTTGACTGATGCGAATAGGGTTGCAGACTCGAGGTTGGGGTCACCGACGCGGCGAACAATCTCCTGGGCGAGCTTTTGAATAATAGGATGAACGAAGAATCGGGGATAACCGCATTGCATCTTGCTTATGACCCAATCTTCTCCTTCTTCGTAGCCGACATTTTCTCGCCATGATGGAAGCGATACACTGACGGCCTTATAAATGTTAGAAGAGTCATGGAGGGGTTGCGGGGAACTATACATGGTCAGTGTTTGGAGGCACAGATCCTCCCAAAGCCTGCAACATTCTTCGATTTGAAAAATAGAAATCACAAGAAAATATGATCGATTACGGATACTTGTTTTAGAATGAGGAGAGAGAGAGGGAGAGAGAGAGAGAAAAACAAAAGACTTTTAAGGTTGTAAATGATACCATTCCTCTCCACTTGCGACTTCGGCGATGCTCCGGGTACCTGATAAATTACGAATGAGTCAGCGGTATGGTATCAGATACAATACCGCTATCGCCCAAAAAAAAAAATCTCGGCCTCTCTACTAACAACTGCTACGCTCACGAAATGTCGGACCACACATCTAAGCGCAGGAAGCTCAGTCCTTCCCCAGAGGATGCTGTTACTAGCTCTTCAACAAATCAGGCATCGAAATTGACCGAGAAGCGAAACCCGACTCGAGGCAAAGATGAGCGCTCCGCAGAGCTTGCAATGGCCAGCGGCTTTTACAAGTCCAGTTTCTTCAAGCTACAAATGGACGATCTACTGGCGGGATTGAGACCTAACTACAGCAAGCAACTCTCAAAGGTTCAGGAAACACTACACCAAATCAAAACCGCAATTGAAGGCCTGCCCGAAAGGTCTCCGCAATCTGTCCCCGATGCCGAGAAGGAGCTACGTGCTTCTGGTCTGGTGGTTCCATGGCCTGAGCCCCGGCCGAGCAAGGATGTCAAGTACAGCATGGCATACGCAAAGCCTGCGAACATCAATGTGGTAGGTAGCTTTGCTCTCAAGACAGGCGCTCGCAGTTTGGAGTCGCGCCCAATTGATCTGGCAGTCACCATGCCAAGTTCGCTCTTCCAGGAGAAGGACTACGTCAACTTCAGATACTTCCACAAGCGGGCCTACTATATCGCGTGCGTGGCCGCTGGGATTCAAGACACCGCGGACACCTTCGGGTTTGATATCAAATTCGGTCCTCAGGATGGAGACAGTCTCCGCCCTCTCATTTTGTTGGAACCGCGTCAAGCCGAATCGTCCGTACCTACAATCCGAATTCTGACCGCAATCGATCCTACATTGTTCCCGATCACAAGAACGCTTCCGCTCAAAAGCAATATCCGCCAGGGCTCCAATAACTCGGAGATCGGCGAACCGACCTCGTATTACAATGCCAGCCTCCGCTCCGATGCCACAGTATCTCTCTATCACAAGTCTATCTACTCGGCCTCCAAAAAGTGCGATTCTTTCAGCGATGCATGCATTCTTGGCCGCACTTGGCTACAACAACGAGGCTTCCATACCCCCTTCCAGAATGGAGGCTTTGGTGGTTTCGAATGGACTGTACTTCTGTCTTTGCTGTTTGAAGGTGGTGGTCCGACTGGACAACCGGTCCTGCTGCCATCATACAGCTGCTACCAAATTTTCAAGGCCACCATTCAATTTTTGGCCGGCAGGGATTTGACCACTCCTCTATTCTTTGGCCCAGAGGTTCCAGTTCCTTCCGGTGTACCTGTTGTCTTTGATGGCCGCAGAGGATTGAACATTCTTTACAAAATGACGCCTTGGTCATACACAACACTGCGTCATGAAGCTGCTATCACCCTAAAAATGCTCAACGAGTCACGAGAGGATAACTTCGATAGGGTTTTCATTCTTAAGGTTGACGAGCCGGCCCTCAGATTTGACCGCCTGATCTCATTCCCCAAGTCATTCAATGGAGACACGCTCCGCGCTCTTCACGGACAGAATGCTTTGTATAATGTTCTGTCCCGGGCTCTGGGAGACAGAGTCAAACTTGTCTCTATTGCGAGTCACGCCATTGATTCGTGGTCAGTCAAATCCAAGCAGCCCAAACGGTCCAGTCAAGGTGTGTCTGTAGGACTATTGTTGAATGCTGAAAATGTCGGACGAATCGTCGATCACGGCCCAGCTGCCGAAGAAAAAGAAGAGTCTGCTTCATTCCAAGCTTTCTGGGGTGAAAAGTCGGAGCTTCGACGATTCAAGGATGGCAGCATCCTGGAGAGTCTTGTGTGGTCTGACGAGTCGGAGACATCTATCATCTATCAGATCTTGGAGTACATACTCCAACGGCACTTCAAGATCACCACCGATGAATTCGGGTTTGTTGGTGATGAATATGACGAGCTCCTCAAAGAGCATGGCGATGGCATACTAGCATACTCCAGCCCTGCGTTCCAGTCAATCGACGATGCCTTCAAGGATCTTGAGAGATCTATCCGCGGCATGGATGAAGTGCCACTGGAGGTCCGTCATTTGGCGCCGGCCAGTTCGCTTCTTCGTTATACCTCCCTCAGGCCAACGGGGGCCACCGACGTTGTTCTTCAGTTTGAAAGCTCCTCGCGTTGGCCTGATGACTTCGCCGCCATCCAAATGACCAAGGTTGCATTCCTTTTGAAGATCGGGGACTCTCTGGAATCATCGGGTGCTGCCTCGTCTTGCCGTGTCGGCCTCGAAAACGAATCGAGCAAGGTAATCAACAATGCGTATTTGGAAATTCCCCATTCCTCTGGCGTGTTGTTCCGGTTGAGGATCCACCACGAGCGTGAACAAACCCTACTCGAGCGCAATCTCAAGGATCGAAATCTGAGTCCCCGGGAACGAGAAGAGGCCGCCTATGCTCTCTTCGCCTACAAGAAGACATTTGTTCAAACCCCGCGCTTGACACAAGCACTCCGAAGCCTGTGCACACGCTTCCCCTTGTTGTCGCCCACCATTCGTCTTACCAAACAATGGTTTAATTTCCACCTGTTTACTGCCCAAATCAGCGACGAGTTGATTGAGTTGCTGGTAATCCGCACCTTCACCCAACCTAACCCCTGGGAATGTCCTTCATCAGTCATGACCGGATTCCTGAGAACTCTCCATTCCCTCTCTCGGTGGGACTGGCAGCAGGAGCCGTTCGTTGTTGACCTAGGAGGTGATCTGACCCCACAAGTGACGGAAAATATCCGTACTCGCTTCACAGCCTGGCGCAGTATCGACCCTGCGATGAACAGTCTAGCCCTTTTCGTCGCCTCTGACCTCGATACTGAAGGAGTGACCTGGACCCAATACGAGATGCCATCCAAGGTTGTGGCTGCTCGGATGTCCAGCCTGACCAAAGCAGCAGTTGGCCTACTACGAAGAAAAACCCACCATGTGAATGTCTCCGAGCTGTTCGATACCTCGCTTGCTCCCTACGACTTTGTCATCCATCTTCGCCCAAAGCTGTTTGGCGGTTCCTCGGCACCCAAGTTCAAGAACTTGGCCGAGCCCCGTGCTGGAATGATGCAGACCATCAAGTCATTTGTCTGTGATGTACAAGCCTGCTACGGCCAGAGCATTTTGCTCTTCCACGGAGACGATCGTTGTGCAGTGATTGCTGGCCTTTGGAACCCGCAGACCCTGAAGTCGCGAACCTGGAACCTGAAGACGGCGTACTCGACTGCCCCAGGTGATACCGAGGGCCAGGTCGTAATCAACCAGACTGCTATTCTGAACGAGATTGCCCAGTTGGGCAATGGGCTCATCGAAAACATTGAAATCCGTGCAGATGAATAGATGGGTATCTTTGATTCAAACTGGTGTACATTAATTACCTACAAAATATTTCAAGCATGAATAGCAGCTTCTAACGAATTCCGTTTCTTTCTTCAACCCAGAACAATGAGAGATATTATAATCAAACTATTAGCCCTCAACTTAGTATAATAGATGATCATCTTAGCCCTGAACATCTCACTCGCATCTTGATATTGGTGCCTAAGGTGTCAACCACTGGCAACAAGTGCAACCATCAGCTCGGGTTTCATCTTCTTTCTCTCACCAACTCAACAATGGCCAGCATAACTCGGGGCCAGCGAGCCCTGCACGCTCAATTCCAACCTTGGAACCACTCTCGTTTCCACTCCCACCTCCGATCCCAATTACTGCCCATCTGCGCGCAACCCCAGCTCTTCTCAACCTCCGCCCCGAGCCAGCAATCCCGCCGACCCTCCCCATCACCCCCAACAACAACCACCGTCTCAGTCCCCTCCAAATCCGAAATAAATGCCCCAATCAGTACACACCCTGCTCCCCTCACAACCCCCTCTCCTCTACCTTCCTCCGCAGGCGCAGCAGACAAACTAAAACGCTATGTCGAATTCGGCCGCGCATACGTGACCTTCTACAAAACGGGCCTGAAAAATGTCTACCGGAACTATCGCGCCTCGCTTCCTCTACGGAGAAAACTAGGCCTACCCGCCTACATCCCTATATCCCCGCGGACAAGCACACACAACAACAACCGCTGCGCGCCATCAATAACACAAGAATCCAAGCTCGGCCGCGCACAGTTCCAGCTCGTCCGTCGCTCCGCCCGCGATGTCCGCCGGATGATCCCCTTCACGTTGATCCTGATCGTCTGCGGCGAGTTCACACCCCTGATCGTCCCGATCTTCGGCTCTGCCATTACACCCGCGACGTGTCGTGTGCCCTCGCAGGTGGGGAAGGAGCGCGTTGCTGCTACAGCGCGCAAACTTGCGGCGCTGGATGTGTTTGTTACTGGGGATAAGGATCGGTCTGTGCATTTGCTCAAAGCGGGCGGTGCGGAGCAGTTGGCTCTGCTTGCTGGGCGTTTTGCTGATCCTGTCTGGGTCGCTGATGCGGGCTCCGCTGATGTGCTGCGTGCCAGTGCGGTTTTTGGTCTAGTTAAGCGCCATGACAAGACTGCGGGCGAGTCGCTCGCTGGTTTGATCTACCGGCCTCGGCTGGCGCGGTATGTCGAGTACCTGGCTATTGATGATGGGATGATTCGCGTTGGTGGAGGGGTTAAGGCTATGAATGATACTGAAGTGCGAATCGCAGTCGAGGAACGCGGTGGTGTAGATGTCTCTTCCGGCACTCAAGACCGAAAACGGGTAGAGGAATTGGAGAGGCGCTGGTTGGAGCAGTGGCTGGCTGTTCGTGGAAACAGTTCAAAGTCCAAAAAGCCGTAGGTTTTTAAAACCAGACTGGAGGTCCCTGCTTGTACAGTAGATGTTTCATAGTGATCCTTTGTATTATATTATATCCAACATTTCGATTCATAAAAGAGCTTGTTCTTGTCAAGCTTTGACTGTCATTACTAGCCGTACAGCCTACAGTCTTCGCCAACACGTTTTTTCTGCATTCAATTTCCAAGACTGCATCTGAAAAGATAATGTGAGGAAGAAAAATTCAAAAATCCAAGCGCTCAAAAGTAGCATGTGTCTATTTCGATAGTCAAACGGAGGGGTATCAAGAAACTAACCCTCCAAGCGGAGAAGGAAATCAATGTATGAAAGTGGGAAAGAAAAAAGAAGAAAAAAAGACAGTTGATATACTCAACATCAGTCCACGGTAATAGACGAAGAAGCCGCAGCCTGCGCCTGCGCCTGGCCACGGATTTGCTTCGCCCACCGCAGACCACAGCTATTGCAAAGGTCCCGGTTTCCACTCGGACCACGTCGCCACTCGGGGGTATTCTTTGTGTTGCACATGGCGCAAAACTTCTCGACCGCCATAGCACCCTGCTTGCGCTTGCGCTTCCTGCGACGAGCCAGCAGGCGTTGCAATTCATCGGCCAGAGTGCGGTTCTGTTTCTCTAGCTCACGCAGCTCGATCTGCCAGCTCGACCCGCGGGTGGGGTTGAGCTCTGTAAAGAAGGTTGCCGGGTCAGCAGAGTGTGAAATCCTGCGGTTGCCAGTGGGCAGACCGTTGAGGCCGATGAGGTTTGATAGATCGGGTATGCGTTGACCAAGGGCGCCGTACTGCTGGGGCGGGACGGGGTCGTTAACGGTAAGCGTTGTGTTGCGTGCAGTGCCGGTAATCGTAGCGAGACTACTGTCTCCGGTGGCTGAGACAGCGGTGGCGGATGGAGGGAAGGATCGAGCAAATCGTATCTGGGCGACGAGGAAGGTGGGTTTGATTCCCTCCCGTGCGTCGCCGGTGTATAATGTGGTATGTGCTGAAATGGCATGGCCTTTCTTATGCCACATTTGGTGTTTGAATGAGGGTGGTTCATCCGTTTCTTTGCCGCTGCCCGTAACGGTGGCCATGCCAGCTCCTTGTCCACCACGGGCTGCCTCCAGGGCATGTGTGATCGTGGCAGTGCCGTCAGTCTCGGGCTTCATGATCTCTTGTAGGCCCTTACCAATTAGTTCGTCAGGCGAGCGGCCGAGCACCGGCTTCACCTTGGTCGTAACGAATAGAATGACACCAGACAAAGAAATCTTGGCCCAGACGTCATTCTCAGCCAGCGCGGCGGCCGAGCCCAGGCGAGCAATCTGATCCAGGGTGTAGACGGGTCGTGGGCGGCCAGCCATGACAAGATGCCTCCGGCCTTGGTTCGGGTCGATGTGCCACGCGCCGTGACTCTCGAACCACATATATCCTCTGTACTTTTGCCTGATACGATACACAACAGTCACTGGAGCGGTTGTCGTGCTCGCCCGCAAGTCACGGATTACAGGACCAATATCACTGGGATGACAGATAGTGGATAGGGTCTTGCCGATCAGCTCGACCGGATTGTACTCTAGAATCTTGTGGCAAGAGGGCGAGAGATATAAGAATTCACCGTTGCGCGAAAGCACATGGATCACATCATCGGTATTTTCAACCAGGATACGATCCAGGTAGTGCCGGTTGACATCATTGCTAGCTGAACTCATGGCGTTGAGAATGGTAGTCACTTCATCATGGCCATATCGCAACCCGAGGTCTGGTCGTGAGGAGTATATATCTGGTGGAGGGACTATATACTGTGGCAGCTGATCGCGCTGATAGTTAATTCTGTAATTACCATCTATACAATGTTAGCGAGGGCACTCGTCACGAAGAATGCAGCAAAGCATACCAGGATTTCTTCCCCTCACAGCATCGGGTTTTTCAACCAGATCGACCTGGAAGCCGACGTAGTACCGATAAACACCCGAGTCCCACCGGATGGGGATCATCGTGATGAGATTCATGAAGGGTTGTCCACCCTTGCGATAGTTAATTATACTAGCCTGGATCTCACTGCGATCGTCGATAGTTGACCGTAGCCGATGGACAGTTTGCCCATCGACAAAGGTCCGCTTAGCGCCAGCGTTGATCTTGCCATCGGGCGCTTGAAGGAATCGACAATTCCGGCCAACGATTTCATCTTTAGTATAGCCGGTCAATCGTTCAAAGGCCTCTGATACATAAACGATTGGATGATCCTCGATCAAAATATCACACATAACAAAGGCACATGAGAGATCGACGGCGCCAATGTTAATTTTAGGGTTGGGTCGCATAGCCACACGGCCCTGAACAAGGTTAGTATACATCGTCGGATACTCTTCATAATAATAAAAATAGAAAATAGAAGACATACCAACGCTCCAAGCACGTCGAAACCAGTTGTCGAATAGATGCCGGTATGTTCAGTCTTGCCAATCTCGGGCTTTTCCAAGCCTGGCGAGAAATCTTCTGATTGCGCGTTTCCGCGTTAGTCATACCATGGGCCAGAGTCCAACAGGGAGTGCCAGACAGACATAACTCACCTTTGGTAGTAATAGGCTTCTTGGGCTGGATAGCCACCGGTTGCGATACACGGTACGGCTGGCCAGCAGGCAGGCAGCGCTCCAGAGGTTGTCGCTGAGCCTGCTGCACCTGCGCCTGCGCCTGTGACCAGTCGCTCGTGCGACCTGAAAAGTCGGAATCCTCGAAATTGGCCGACGAGTCGGTGGCTGTATCGTATAGTTCATTGCGGGCTGAAGGAGCGGGCTGGGGGTAATGGGGTATCGTCATGGAGGGTGGGAAGGGTGGGTATGTGGACTGAAACTGTGAATGATCCATCTGCGGAGGCATTCCCATGGTGGTGGCCGAGTAGGTGGTTGGGATATTGTAGGTATAAGCATTTGTGGCGTTCATGTTCATTGGCATTGAGATACCCGAGGTGGGAAGCCCGTCGTATGTGTGCATGACATTAGCCCTGGGTTCTTCCAGGTCCGAAGGCTGTGATCGTGCGAAGTTCTGAAGAGGCAGATCGGAATTCTGGGGTAGCATAGCACTGAAGGCATAATTACCCTGGTTGGGAAAGGTCGTATATGAAAGGTATTGGGGGTGTGAGCCCTGCTCATCATCATATTCCAAATTGAAGCTGTTCATGTTGGTCATGATTGAAACATCTGAGGCCCAGACCGAATTCCATCGCCCCGCAGGATGACAACCTGGGCAAAAGTTGAAGTTCGCGAAATATCCGATTTGTGTGGATGTTTATAAAAAATGAATGTGTTGGATATTTGTAGAAGAAAGAAGAGAGGAAGAGAGAGGGAGAGAGGGAGAGAGAGAGAGAGGGAGAGAGGTAGAGAGGTAGACAGAGAGTTGATGTCTCTAATGTACAAATGTATGTGGGGAAGCACTCGCCAATAGATCTCTTATATGAAGATTTGACATTCTCGTGTCTCATTTTTATTCTATACATCTGTATTTGCATTTGCATTGGTACTTATAACTATAAAATTATATTTTTCTTTCTCTATTCTATTCTATTCTATATATTATGGATTGTAGAAATTATGTCTAGTGTTCTGTTAGTGTATTGCCATGTTCATGTCAGGCAAAACCCCCCAATGAGATGTATCACAATGACAATTATAGAGAATCAATAATAGCATTATGAGGTACTTGAAGATAGAGATATTAAACTATAAGGACTATACATAGTAACGCTATACTTAGGTAGGACCTACTTATATTAACCCCTATTATAATTAATAACCCCTGTCAATCAACCTTCGGGACCAATTCCCCAATCCCAACCCCCCATCTTCACTCTTCCTCTCTCCAATGTCCATTGGCCATGGACAAGATCTCAATCACCATCTGCGGAGATGGTGGATGTGGTATGTTGTTTCTTTTGTCTCCTGGAAATATCCTGACTCCGTGATTCGGTGCCACGTTTCCGGGTTTCGCGCGATCGAGATCTGATCAGATCGGGATGCAGGCAAATCCTCCATCACCATGCGGCTGGTCCGTAGTCAATGGGTTCACGAGTGAGAACTTCTCCCCGAATTGACCTTGGGGAAATCTCTAATATCTTATTTCTAGATATGATCCAACTATCGGTATTACGCCCACCCGATCGATGCCATTCCAATTCTAATCGGGCCCAGAGGATTCCTATTCCGTCACACGCAACGTCGATGGCCGCCCCTACGTCCTTTCCATCACCGACACCGCAGGCCAGGAGGAGTACCGTGGGCTGTGGTCCGCCATGACATTGAATTCGGACGCCTTCCTATTGGTTTACGATATCACCAACCCCTCGAGTCTTGAAACGCTGGATCATTTCATGGACATGATCAATATGGAGGCGGAGCAACGCGTCGAGGACAACGAGCGACTGCGCCAGGAGTTGGGAAAGAAATCCGGTGTAAGGGATGTCGGCCAGGTTGGCCTGCCACCGCCAGTGAAAATCGTCGCGGGCAACAAATGCGATCTCAAGGATAATCGCGTGGTGACATCCCGCGATGGACTCGAGTATGCGCGCAAGCACGGCTGTGGGTTTATGGAGACCAGCGCTCGCGAGACGGTCAATATTGAGGAGACCTTTGCCCGTATGATATGTCCGCAAGGAAAAGAGAGGAAGGGAGAGAGAGTAGAGCTAATGACTGGATAGATTTAGTCCGTCGCGTTGTCGAAGCCCGCCGACTTCGTGATCAACACGGTGCGCTTCCTCAGTGCGCCGAGCCATCGCACAATTCCCTACCCACAACCACCGTAGACGCAATTGCAGGCGAGACCCGATCTCGTCGAAGTCGGGCATGGGAGTTTATCAAACACCGGAAGACAACGGAACCAAACGGCAAACAGGGTCAGGAACAAAGTGAGATCCAGAGAACCGAGAAACATAAGACACCCCGTGAAAAGTGCTATCGGGGTTGCTGTGTCTGTCAGCTCTGGTGCTTTCACTGCTCTTGTTGATGGATAATGAGGCTGTATATTATAAAAAGATGTAGATTAATACTATACCCGGTCATATATTTACATATGTTTGGGCACTGTCTGTGTGGAGTTGACTAGGGAACATATGTAGAGAAACATGGAGCAACCCAAGCCCACCTTCTGAATGGACTCGGAATCTGTTTCCGCCAAATACGAGAGATGATGCTCGATAGAGCTCCCACGGGTTGAGAGAATTGAATTTGGAGTAGCGTTGAATTTGATAGGATCTGATCTGATCTGATTGGATTTAGCCCTGGTCGTCACATATTTCCAAATGCAGTAAGTATTGAGCTAAGCTTTTGAACTGCACGGAATATCAGCCGAGGGAAATGGAGGGTTTAGGGGGAAATAGGGAAAATAGGGAAATATAGGAAACATCGAAAGAAAGATATCTTCTAGAAGGAAAAAAAAAAAAAAAAAGGTCTAGCCCTTTGATAATACAGTAACGATGTAGTATATCCTCAAAAGGGACATAGTTCCTGATTGGGTCCGAAATGGTCACGTCATGGACTTTTTCCGGCAATTGGTAATAGCCCTGAAAGTCTAGAGTGATGAATCACGATGATTTGAAATAGGATTATTTAACTGTAATCCCCATTATAAGGTTGTATATTGTAAACTATTTAACATTGGAATATACCTTAGAGACTAACTACATGTAAACCAGATGCCTCGGAATACATAATATAATGAAGAGTCTCTCGGGTGCAACATGCAACTCGGCATGCTGTTGCCGATTTCCCTTTTTTTTTCCTGTTTATACCTGTACATAGGGTTATGCTGCCAAGAGTATGAATTCATATTTTATGATTTTTTTGGGTTCTATATATTGTATAGTTAAAACTATCTTATATATATTTCTATAATGATTAATAATAAATAAAATAAAATAAAATAAAACAGATCGTCTATCCTAGATCCTATATCCTACCTAGCTACAAAGTATATACAGAATCAAATAAAAATCCGATATGTGTGGCTGGAAATGCAGTCCACTCGGATATACGTCAGTTCAAAGTCTCCGAGTTCCGTTCAGCGAATGCCGAGTCATCCTTGTATTTTTCACAGTATTGGTATGTATTGTATTTTATGATCTTCGATCCGATCCCTTTATGCCTCGAGACCTTTTCAAAGTCCGTACGATGGAGACAATCCATGACTCTAATAAATCAAAAATAATAAAATCCTAAACTAGAAAAGACCCCCTCTTTTTTTTATGATTCCTATATATGCACATCTACTCCCATGACCTGGATCGTGTTACTTTTTCTCGATTACTTCATACTACTTCCAACCTGTTACCTGTACACTAGGTATAACTCTTGATTATTTCTTGGTCCCAAGGATTACCTGCCTGCATCCGTCTACTTTAACTGAACTCAATTTCTTTGATCTGTTAACATCATTATATCATTGACCCCAATTTGACGTCGATCCTACTCGGAGCTTGAATAGCATAGCTAAGGGTCAAATTCCCCTACTATATTCTCTCTCTCTCTATATCACCACTTTCGACTTCATAAATTATGGCAGCTCGCCAATCAACGCCAACCTCGGAGCACTCGCATTCCGACAGCAATGTCCGTAAAAGAGTATGCAAAGCATGCGATCGGTGTCGTTTGAAGAAATCCAAGGTATGCATAACATAACAAGACGAGTAATCGTCCCAACATACACTGACCCGGACAGTGCGACGGATCCAGCCCTTGTTCCCGTTGTCGTGCAGATAATGCCATCTGTGTCTTCGGAGAGCGCAAGAAGGCGCATGACAAAGTGTACCCGAAGGGGTAAGCTACAGAGCTAGATTCACAACCCTAAAGAATCCCCCCAACTGACCGGCTATCTCCATAGATACGTTGAGATGCTTGAACAGCAACAATCCTGGCTCGTCAATGGCCTCCAGGAACTCTATCGTCGCAACATCGAAGGCGAAGGCTGGCCCGGCGAGCACCTGAAACTCGAACCCAACGGTCACCCACTTACTCACGACCTGCTGATGCGCCTCGGCGCCCTCGACGGCTCCAAGGGCGAGCGCTTTGAAGAAAACCCCGAAGCCCTACAACAGGATCTATGGCACACCAATGCCGGCATGCAACGCCAGGAATCTTCCGACGGTGGTTCCGATAGTCCCCAGTCACCCGTGCCTCGCTCGCGCTTCTCATCCGACGCTTTCTCCCAGCAACACATGCCGCCCACGCCACCCACATATAGTCCCTCGACGCGTGCGTCTATCAAGACCGAGCAGCCTCATCAACCACAGATGCCCACCACCCCACAATTCGCCCAACCCATGTCCATGCAAGGGGTGGTCAACCCATTAGCTTTGCAGGGTCCGCAACCGTGGCCTAGTAACGGGTTCAATCCTTTCGACGAGATGGATTTGATGTCCACGGCCGATTACTCCAATATGCCCTTTGACGACCAGCAGCTATCATCGCCTATGTTCAATCGCCAGGTACCCATGAATTGCTTGTCTCAAGGGTCATATCTTGATTCCAAGAATGACTACGAGGATTTCAACCAGTTCCTCAATCCAAATCCTACGGAGATTACCTCGATCTAAGCCTTTTCTTTTTTTTTTTTTTTTTTGAAAGATTACTTTCTTTTTGGACTCTTTTAACGCCGTACGACGTGATGCATGTATCCTATACATGTTCTACTTTCTCTCTCTTCTCTTCTGGGGCTATTTTCCCCCAAGGTCTCTTTGACTGGATTCAGGCGCAATCGGGATCCTAATCACCTTTGTACAGTGCACCGGCCTTTTTTTTTTTTTTTCGGGATTTGGAGTTTCGGTCATTCTTTTTGTTTCATGCTTTTTTTTTTGGTTATCTCTGGAGTTTTAAAACGGGGTTTTAAGGAGGCGTCTATTTATGGGGGGTTTTTTAATCTTTCTAATTCCACTTCCAATTGAAGATTTTGAGGTCACCGTGACAGCATCCGAAACGGGAAATGATCTCATTCTCTATCACTATATGCCCAGGTACCGTTTCAGATCGAAAAGATCTCTGCGGAGGAAAATGCCGATTTGCTCCCCGAGGCCCTAGCTCTAGGGCTCCAGGGTTCTTGAATATGACTAATATAGATCAAACGGGAATAATCGGAGTTTAAAAACGCCTTTTTTTTTTTTTTTTTGGAATTTCTTTTGGAATTTCTTTTGGAATTTTTTGATTATCATTTCCAAGCCGATTACTGATTTGATTACTGACTTGATTATTGATTTGATTATTGATCTTCTGACTCAGCGGATATATCTCTTTCTTTTTCTCTTCTCTCCGAAATCTCCACATTTGAGCGATTTTTGCTGCTTACGTGAGACTCTGCTTTATAACCCTTCGGGATACAATTAAGTCGCCGAAATCCCGATTTACCGTTATGGGGCAGTTGCTCCGATGGTATATACTTTGTACTTGGTACAACGGTTCTTATTTACTAGAATGCTAGAAGACTAGAAGACTAGAAGACTACAAAGTAGAACTACATCTCTGATAATAAATTTAGAGATATCGGTACTCGTATCCATCGTATTCGGTCTCGCAACCCCTGACACAGCCCCAGTTATCAAACCTGCTGTCAACTTTACTCTAAACAAGAAAATGCCTGCCTAATACATAACTCAATACAACTGCCCAGGTGCCAATCCAATGCCAACCCTCTAATATTTACGTAGTTTAACTAGTTAGTTACCTAGTTAGGTACCTGCAAATTATTAATAAAACCCTTGGCATGTTTCCTATTTCTTTCTTTCTTTTCTTTTCTTTTCTTTCAGGTGGGCCGACACGAGTCCGGGGTATAGATCCCTCCGGACGCCGGGGCCCGTTTCCTCCGACCGGATGCAGGCTTACCCTAACGCCGATATGTTATGTCCGCTTTATGCGTGATTATATTGTAGTTTCCGTGTATAGTCCTGATTGGAGAATACCAATTCAATACAGCCTTACTTTTTTTTTTTTTTTTTTAAAAAAAAAAGCCCCTTTTGATAGTTATACAAAGTAGTTTTTGGACGGGCCAGGTGGCCCAGGTGACCCGGGAGCTTTTTATATAAATCGACGGGTCACGGGTTGAGCTTTAACCCTAACCCGGCTAATTCGAAGCTCTCTCTTTTAGCCTAATCACCTTAGAATCAGGGACCCCTCTCAGGGCAACAACATACGTCTTGACACCTTGAATATCAACATTTATGCTAAACAAAAAAAAAAGTTGCAAGGTGTCATTGTCGGTGATTGATCCCGCAGATTGCGGGGTTGTAACGTCATGTCCCTTAAAATGAAATGTACATACTCTCTACATACTCTTCCCCAGGTTCTTCCCATTCTCTCAGGGAAAAAAAAATAAAAATACACCGAACCCCTCATTATGTCCGCCGAACAAGCTGCATTCACCTTCTTGCCTTTGGGCGCCATCATCCAAGAGTTCCGTGTCGGTGGCAAGAACATCGTTTTGGGTTTCCCCACGCAGGAGGATTATGTCAAGCACAACTCCCCGCACTATGGTGCCACCATCGGCCGCGTTGCAAACCGCATCAAGGATGGCCTGATTCAGGACTTGAATGGCCAGAAGATCCAATTGACGCAGAACAACGGCCCCAATTCCCTGCATGGTGGTGAGAAAGGCTGGGGTAAGCGCGTCTTTGACGGTCCACACACCGTTCAGCGCAATGGCCACGACGCCTTGCTGTTCAAGTACCTCTGCAAAGATGGTGAGGAGGGGTACCCCGGTACTGTCGAGGTGCGCGTGTGGTACACCGCCAGCAAGGAGGGTGACGCCAAGACCGTCCTGACGGCCGAGTACGAGGTGGAATTCGTTGGTAATGAGTGCGAGGAGACTGTAGTCAACCTCACCAACCACAGGTAAAAAGACCCAGGCCCTTTTACACCCCTTCGAAGTTGATGACATCAATCTCGAAAACTGGAGAGGCCATCCCCCGCTGACCAAGCTTCTTCCCCCACCTCTCACAGTTACTTCAACATCGGCGATGGACCTGATATCTCAGGCACCACCGCTCAACTCGCTACAGGCGACTATCTGCCCCTCGATAGCACGGGTATCCCTTCAGGTGGGATCGCCAAGTTCCCCCGCGATGTGACAACCCCGTTCACGCTCGCCGCAACGGGCGCACACATCGACGACGTCTTTGTGCTGGAGTCCGATCCCAGCAAGATCCCGCTCGACACTCGTGGCTTACCGCTACGCCGCCTGGCACAGTTCAGCAACGCAAGCACGGGCCTACATCTCGAGGTGCACAGCACTGAGCCTGCATTCCAGTTCTACACTGGCAAGTACGTCGATGTGCCGTCGATCAATGGTGCACCGGCACACCATGAGGGAGCTGGATTCTGTGTGGAACCTAGCCGGTTCGTGAATGCGATCAACGAGCCTGAGTGGCGGTCTATGGTTCTTCTGAAGAAGGGTCAGTTTTTTGGCTGCAAGACTGTTTACAAGGCATGGAAGGCTTGATCCCAATGGGTATAGCAAAGAAAGTATACAACAGTACATCAAGTGTATTTCCTTTTACATTCCAGATAAGTGGAGACTTGGCCCTAGACAATATTTGATTATACGGAATTGTACAAAAGAAAAAATAAATAAATAAATAACAAAACAAAACAAAATATAAAAATAATAATATAAAAAACATAAAAAAAGTGCCGAAGCTGGCCAAGTTATCTCCGTCCCGGATCCTCGGCAGCCCGTTTCTGAGCCGGAATTTTGAATTCCTCAGATGTTTAAGATGTTATTATATGACAGGTGAATATCTAGATAACTATCCCCCTATTAGCTTACCTAAATAGCTAACCACATACTTTTTTAGGTATGATAGTAATACGTATCAGTATGCGTAGCATAGAAGTATACCCAATTCAAACAATTCCCAATTTATCCTGACCCGCTCCCTTCCAGAAGAATCTCCACTGGGAATATCAAGCCCGTGACGAGCTATTTTTTTTAGTGTGCCGTATTCCCGGAATGTGGCGCTATAAGATGTTATTTACTATTTTATCTTTACTGGAGTTACGGGTGTATGATTTATAGTCACTTATGTAGTGAACTATATTACAATAATCTACTCCATACTCCGTAAGCCATCTCAATAACGGGACACAACCGTAATTTTATGGTTAATATGGGCTTACTATCTTGTGTATACTAGCCTAATGCGTACCTGAGCTTGTATAATGGTATACTCATATGTTATACTACATGCTGTGTATTATTATAAAATACTATAGAATAACCCCACGTGACCTCGGCCACAATCGGAGACCGGGCCAACCCGTCTTCACCCCCGCGCGGGGGAACTTCGTGTGAACTCGCAGATCAAACATACTATACACTAACCTTCTATACTTGATCCAATTCCCGTGTTCCAAAGATACTTACAATGGCCTCGGCTCACGGAGATCTGCGCCATCTACTGCCTGGCAACTACAAGCGCATCATAACATCCTGGCTGGAAGAGGACTGCCCTAGTCTGGATTATGGTGGCTTTGTCGTCGGCGAGTCAGAGGGTGAGGCCCGACTCCTAGGAAAGAGCAAGGTAAAGCAACAGAGTCTATAACACGGCATTCCTACCTAGTCCATGAGAAAGAACATTAACTGATCAACCCCCAGGGCATCGTCGCAGGCGTACCATTCTTCGACGAGGTCTTCTCGCAACTAGGCTGCACGTAAGTGTCCTAGTCCTCCACTCCTCCATTCAGGCCCCAACCTCTCTAACCCATCTAGAATCGAATGGCACATCAAAGAAGGCGAAGCAATCACCCCAATCCAGCACTGTGCAACCGTTCGCGGCCCCATCCGCAAGATCCTCCTCGGCGAGCGCGTAGCCCTAAACATCCTCGCTCGTTGCTCGGGCATCGCCAGCAAGAGCGCCTCCATGCTCGCTGCGCTGCGTGCGCAAGGGTGGCAAGGTACCCTGGCTGGTACAAGGAAAACAACGCCTGGGTTCCGACTGGTGGAGAAATACGGAATGCTTGCTGGCGGCGCCGATCCCCACCGCCATGATTTGAGCTCTATGACTATGCTGAAGGATAACCACGTGTGGGCGTGCGCGAACAACCGGGCTGCAGCGGACGGCGGCGTTGCGGACCCGTCGTCGATTGCGTCTATTGCGGCGGCGATTCCGCGCGCTGTGCAGGCGGCCAAGGCTACTGGTGGGTTCTCGACCAAGGTCGAGGTTGAGTGTCGGAGTGTGGAGGAGGCTAATGCAGCGATTGGCGCTGGGGCTGATATTATTATGCTGGATAACTTTACCCCCGAGGGGGTGCGGGAGGCTGCGGCGCAGCTGAAGCGCGAATGGGCTTCGAAGAAGGCGTTCTTGATCGAGGTGAGTGGTGGGTTGACGGAAGAGAATGCGCCGGCCTATGTCTGTGCCGATGTCGATATCTTGTCTACCAGCTCAATCCACCAGGGTACGGGGATCGTGGATTTCTCGCTTAAGGTATCGTTGCGGTAGATTGGAGTGTATCATACAAAGTTTGGATTCGTCTTGATAGAGCATATGGACGTGTATAAATTACAATGAAACAAAAAATAAAATGCAGAAAAGAAAGAAAAGAAATCCGACAATCCATCAACAAAAATGTTGGTAACGAATAAAATAAAATAAAACGCCTTGTCCTCGTCTCATGACCCTCGTAAATGATCATTACAAGCATATTCAATAAGTGTAATGTGGAAGCGAAACACAAACAGACGTTGGGGTATATATAGTACAGGAGAAACCCGACAACAAAATCAAACTTCGATATCGACGGTGATGCCCTCCCCTTCACTGGAGCTGGGAGCCTCATCTGAGACAGAAGGACGATTACGACTGCCGCCATCTGCAATGGTCCCGGAAGGACCGCGCCGTGTACGTTCCCGGCTGAGCTGATCTCGAAGTTTCTGGTTTTCGGCATCGCGCTCCTCGAGTCGCTTGCGAGCGCCACTGCGGTCTAGGAGGCGACCTTCACGTTCAGATTTGAGTCGCTTCTCCAGTTCATGCAGCCTGTGAATCCATTTCTCATCGCCACCATCCAAGCCACTGTGCGAGTTACGCGTGCGTGGTATCATTGTGCCAGCATTGTTATTGGTCAGTGTGCTGCTAGAGGAGTGAGAGGGCTGCGGAAGTCCCGTAACACTGCGAGCGAGGCCTTTCTCAGGGCGAGGTCTTTCAGTGCCCACCGTTGAGCTAGAACGTCCTAAGGATCGTTCCGACTCTGCTGTTGACGCCAAAGAAGGGGATCGCGGTCCCGATGCCATGACTGCAGCCGCAGCCGCAGATGCAGGACCCTGTCCTCGCGAGTTGGATTGAAGTAGATTGAGTTCAGCCTTCAGAAGACGGTTCTCGCCACGCAATTTAGACATCTCCGGGGTGGAGCTCGACTGTCCGCGATCGGACCGCATATTTTTCAAAGCCTCCTCGAGGCGCTCGAGTTTCTTGATCCGTCCGTTATATGACAGCTCAAGCGTGTGATAACGCTTAGTCAACTCGTGGTCCATGCTCTTGATGCGAGTCTTGAAACTCGCCATCACGGCCTCGACAGTCTTCATTGCAAGCAGAAGGTTGCGGCTGAAGCCCGGCCAGAACAAAATATTACCAATGACCTCCTGGCTCGGAAGATTGCCATTGATAAGACTGTTGGAGTGCGCCCAGTCCGGCCCGCAAAGCCCGGATATTCTCTTCCAAATGTTAAGGAACATGACGTTCCTCTCGCTAAGCTGGTCCTTGAATTGCTGTTCCAGTGATGCGTATCTTTTACGGTCCTCGGTCCGCGCTTTTTCCAGATCTGTGATGCGGGAATTGCTTTGCGTAATGGTCCGAGATGCTTGCTGATGAGATTTGAGCGACGACTCGAACGACTGCTTGTCAGCTCGGCGCGCATGCCGTTCGCGATCCAGGAGTTCCGAGAGTTTGCGTGACTCAAGTCCATGACTCTCGAGCAGAGCGTCACGGTTTCGAAGCAGAGATTCTTTCTCGTCTAGCTGCGAGCGGATGCTCTCTAGGTCAAGGGCGGTCGACTCCAGTTCCTTTTGTAGCTTCATGATATTGGTGATCAGGCTAGACCGACTGCCGCTGAGGTCACCTAGAGTTTCTCTCAAATTGTTTTCGAGGTCCATCAACCGTTCTCGCCAGGTGGAGGTTTCAATCTCCTGGGCTGAAAGGCTCTTCTTCAGACGTCGGACCTCCTCCTTGGAAGCTGAAGCTTCGCGGTTCAATTCATTCATGATACGCTGAACATCTTGCTTCTCCTTGCTTCCAACCACCTCTCGCTGGTGACGTTCATCTGCCAATCGCTGCTCAAGTTCTCTAGTCTTCTCTTTTTCGCTGACCAAACTCATGTGGTAGTTCTTGAGATCCGATTCGAGGTCTCCGATGCGGATCTTATCGCCATCTTGCTCTTCACGAAGGAAAGCAATTTCATTCTGGCTTGACTCAATCTGCACCGTCAGTCGCTGCACCTTGGTGTTGGCCTCAAATAGGCTCTTCTCCATAGACTCCATTTCGCGATTGGTCTCCTCAAGATCTTGTTGCACAGATTTGTATGCGGCCAGGTTGTTCTGTGCGTCTTCTTCAAGACGGATGATGCCTTCGCTGGCAGACCGCATCTCGGCTTGCAAAACCCTGAGGTTTTCATCCTGGCTTCGTAGGTCCTCGTTCATGCGTTGGCACTCTACAATCTTCTGATCGAGTTCGTCTCCAAGTGTATCTAACTCTTCCTGCGCCTCGGCCCGCAGGTCCTGGAAAGCGGCATCTCGTTCGTTCGCCATATGCACGGCCTGATCTCGTTCTTGCTGTAAATTTTGCATCTCCTCCTCAGCTTGATCAACATCGGCCTGGTATGCTTTGTCAAGAGCCTCTAGTTCTCCAATATAGTCCTCAAGTTCGGCTCGGATGGCTTGATTCTCAAGCTTCAGGGTGGACACTAGGTCCCGGAGTTGTCCATTCCGGGCTTCGAGTTCGTCGCGGTCCATGTCGCTGCGTGACATACCTGTTCCGTCGCTAGCCTGAGACGATGGACGGATATGACTGCGTGAGGCAGAACGGTCGAAGATACTATCTCCAGCTATGGATCGGCCAACATGACGACGTTCTCCGAGCTTTAATTCCTCGATCTCCTGATAAAGACGTTCCTTTTCTCGGTTGCGAGATGTGAGCATTGAGGTCTGAGCACTAACTTCTTTCCTTAGTTCTGCGTTCTCCTGTTTCAGGAGCCCTAACTCTACCACAAGCGTGCTGTTGGGGGCGGTGGGAACTCGGTTGCCATCTCTATCAGACGTGTACGAAAGAGAGTCGTATTGGCCAGGCTTTGTGACGGAATACATCTCACTCCGCAAACGAATCGACTCATCTCGGAGTCTTCGATTTTCTTCCTCGGCTTGCTCTCGTGCTGAGGTTTCTGCGTCCAGCATATCCTTCCACATCTCCTGCATAGCTAAATTAGCTTGATCTGATTGCTTTGTCTCGCCTGACTTTGACTT